CTTTATTCTTCATTTACATGTATACTTGATTAACTTACATGCTAAAATCTGTTGTAAGAAAATGTAAGATATGTGATGGTGTTGTCTCAATCAACTGTGGTAGAATCACATTGAGATTGTATAGATAAGAATGTAGTCCATATAGTTGAATGCAAATAAATAGGGAGATATATTTTCATGGGTGTAGAATTAGAAGACTTTATAGTAACAGGCTAAAGCCCCCTAATTTAGTCTATTGTTTCAGGTTTTAATGCAAGATGTTAGCCTCCAGAATGAGGGATAAGAGGAAACTCTAGAGTGAGAGCTAGTATCTTCCCTACCTAGCCCGTCTTTAGAACTATTCAAACTTTTGATTAACCAATGTACTTTATAGCATATCTAGTAAGGGTAAAGAATATAATTGTTCTTACTTGTCATAATCTCTCTCACTACTTGTTTTACTTTTACACATGTCACTAATTTCATTGCATTAGGAAGGGTACTTTTAATATATTAAATCTCAATTTCTGATTTTCACTAAGTATTTTAGTTTAGGATTAGAAGTAGTATTATATAGGATTTAGTTTAGGATTAGAAGTAGTATTATAGTGATAATTGTAGGATATAATCAAAACCAAACCTTTATCGACCTTCCAAGCTAGGGTGTGTTATTTTAGTCTAGAACTTCTCTTGAAAGTCATCGTGATTAACCTCGATCTCCGTGGGATTGATATTTCGGGCTTAATCAGAAAGCCCTATATTACTTGAAAACGATACATATACTTGTATAGAATCCCTACAAATATAATTGAAATCTTACTTTACTTGGTATCAAGTTTAGGATCAACTTTTTGGTGCCATTACTGGGGATTAAAATTCTTAAGTAGTGTGTCAACTTCATAAATTCTTACATATAAAAAATATTGGGATAAAAGGCTGACCTGCAAGTTGTGGTGTTAGTAGAGGTGGCGACATAGTGGTGGAGTGAGATGGGTTTGGCCAACGACTATGGAAAAGGTAATAATAAGTTCGGGGAGAAGATAGGAGGAGATTAAAAGGATAAAACACCATTTTAAAGCAAAAAACAACTAGAGCACCACATGTCGCCTAATAAAACCTTAGCAAGAAGGAAAAGACCTCACATTATCAATCTTAAAGAAAACAAAACCCAAAACTCAACCCTACAATCAGAAAAAAATATTCTATACACTCTGATTAATGAATATAAGGAAATAAAAAAAGAAGGAAATTCCCACAAAAAAGGATGGGGTGTTGAAGTAAGAAAAATCCAAAAAATAGCCATTAAAATACTTGTCATACGAAGAAGATCACAAAAAGAAAGGGCTATTGTCCCGCCTCCTGTAACTATTGTTCGAAACTTCCTCGCCTAGTCTGGTCTGCAGAAACAATTTTCAGTCGGTTAAACCAATTGACCAGTTTTAGTGCTCTGTATCAGGGCACCTTCCACGCCCACGTCAATTTATGTGTTGTTCGACCGATTTACTCATAACCAGTACCTCAACATACACTTTAATTTTATTTCTCTTTAGTTTTGAAAAAATTACATGAATAAGACACTAGTAGGTATCCCCAACATTCTTGAGTCCAAAGAGCATTACATTGTAACAAAATATGCCCTCGATTGTGATAAACACCATCTTCTCTGCACCTAGCAGGTCCATTTTGATTTGGTGGTAGCTTAAAAAAGCATCTAAGAAGCTCATTATATAGTGGTCGATCATTGATTCCACTAACACGTTATCCTCCACAATAGATAGTTGTCCTTTGGACAGACAGAGTTCAAGTTTATGAAGTCCACACATATCTTCCACTTGTTGTTGGCTTTCTGCACCATCTCCACATTCAAAACCCAGGTCAAGTACTCCAATATGATGTAGTTGACTTCATGGAGCTTCTGGACCACCTCATGAATCAGTTTGGACAAGGTCACATTTGAAGACCAGATCTTCTGCTTCATTGGCCAGATAGTAGGGTTGATATTCAGTTGTTGACAGGAGACATCGAGTAGTACCTCTGACATCTCGGTGACTAACCAGACAACGATATATTGATGCTCTTGAAGTGTCTGAATCATCATCCCCTTTGATTATGCATCAAAGTTTTCACTTATTAGGAAAAAAAATTATCGGGCTCTCTATCAATTGTAGGGATTTTAGGAGCGGTCTTGTTGGTCTTGAGACCACTTCTGTGCTAATTCTAGAGATAGAGCAGCTATTGCTCGACTCTTTGAACAGCGCGGAGATAGCAGATTAAAGATTCTTCTAGATTCTCCCGAACGGTGTCACCCGGAAACTTCACTACAATGTGAGACATTGAGACCACGACATAGAAGTCTTTGAGCCATGGTCGATCGAAGATAATGTTTTAACTTGGTTGTGAGTTAACCACCAGAAAATCATCCATTTAAAGTCAACAACTTCTCACCTTCTCCTTAGGTGACTACTAGCACGATTATTATCAATGCTTCCTTCATCTCGCCTGAGAACCCATACAGTGTTCTGGTCGGTGCAGCTAGTCGGTTATTCTTGAGTCCCATCTTGTCAAACACTAACCTGAACGTAATGTTTCTGAACCTACACATGTCAACCAAGATGCTACCGATTTGGGAGTTACTTATTATAGTAGTGACGAAGATGGCATCATTGTAGGGATTCCCCTTTGAGGGCAAGTTTGGATCAATGAAGATGATGGGTGGATGGGTGTTGCGCTTTCGAGCGAAAGCAAGGTTTTAGATCCCTCACCTCCAATATTTCCTTTTAAGATCGAGTAACAAATGAGTGGAGGCTCTTGCTTTGTCCTAGCTTGATCTGTAGCAAGGCTAGTGAACTCTTGTGCGGCTTTTAAGTACTAGCATACTACGTCACAAACATCCTTTTGAAATTAATTGAGGATGTGATTACTCGAACTGGTAATCCGTTGAACCACCTAAAGGACAAATCCCTCCGTGTGGTGAAGAACAGGCGACATTTCAACGTGTTTGTGATTTTCAGCAAGCAAACGGTCGACTCAAAGAATGTTATATGGTCAATCGGATCAGTCTAACTCTTGTAGGATTCCAAAACAAGAATCTTTAACCTTTAATAGTCCAACTTCTGAAATCTGCCAAGAGAATGTATTTTTCGGTTGGTGTGGTGATTTGATTCACAAAAAATGTTATTTATCCATCGGCTCTAACCCAATAATCTCCTGATACTAGGAATCTCCTTGCCCTCATGAGGCATGAGAAATCATTCGGTCATTAGACAATGACCACCCTACTTCCTTAAGAGTTTGCACCCCGCCTCGAGCTACTGCTTCTTGGATAGCCTCCATCATCTGGTCCTTCAACTCTTATATTTGTAGTTGCATAAACTCCAAATTAAACTCTCTATTGGCATGCTTCACGTTTGCCACACCTTTCAATATATTGAATCCAAAATTATCTGCGGTTCAAACCCAAAAATAGAAAATAAAATAGGAGAGAGAAAAAAAGAGTACAATGCACATTAAGGAACAGTAAAATGGATTCTAAATTAGCCCTTTTTGAAGAAATGATTCCCCTATTTATAAGAGAAGGATACATTGTGTGTAATTACATGCATGCCCCTTCTTTGATGAGGGTGTTACATTATATTTTAGTTATTTTATAGGTTTTAACCTATTGCTCGACTACCCTACTACTTGGTCAGCTGAGATCAGCGGGCCTTAGTTTGACAACATCTAACCGTCTGACTGCACTGTGTTGGGATTGTCAGTCGACATTTGATTGTCTTCACTATGACAAACTTGGCTCGATTGTTTTGATTTTGTCAATCAACTACTCTAATCTAACTATTGACTATCCATACCTATGTGAGGAACTCCTATTCATAAAATGAGACCAGAATGTCAGGTGGAGCGTAAATCACCATGATTCGGTAGGTAGCTCATCCCTTAGCAAAAGAGTCCTCTGGGATGCTCTTGAAATCTATCATGATCGATCTTCAGCTCCCCGATGAAGGGTATCAGAAGCCTCCATGAGATATTGGGTGAGTTCTTTCCCTTAGATTGGACTGGGGCAAGAGTTAGGTTGATGTCTTATCTCGACATGATCAATCTCAGTCTTCAATTTGAACGGGTTGTGTTTGATAAATTTCAAGCCTTGATTTAGGGGGTCAAGACTTTGGTCAAGCATATCATTTGATCTTTCGCTAACAAGTTTTGTGATATCATAATGGTGAGTCATTTGGTCTTCTACCGATGGGCCTTCTTGGTTGTACTTCTTTGTCTCTTAATCCATTGGATCACTTTATGATTCGTGCTGGCATATTTTTGGCGTACACATAAATAAAAACATATCATGACCAAGAAACAAGCTTTTTGGTTACTGAGGATTCAGTCGTTGATATAAATATTTAAAGGAGTTTTAAAGATTCATGACCAAGAGAAAATTTTGTTTATTTTTAACTTTTATAGCATTGAAAATTTAGGAAAAATATCATTAAAATGATTTGGAATAAAAATAAACTCTTCATGGAATTCCGAACTTAAAAGAGTTAAAATGCTTATTTGTTGATTTGAATATCATGAACCATAAATTATCCTCTCTAAAATTATGGGGTAGAAAGTAAGTAAGATGCGGGTCCAATATCTTGAATCTTGAAATTGAAACTTGAAAGTAAAAGCATAATCTATTATTTTTATATTAACTCTTACAAGAAATTAAAGCAACCAATCCCTATCCTAAGCCCATATTTTGAAAATCAAGTAATCTGTACCGCTATTAAAAAAAAAAATCCTATCTCAACCGTTGTAAGTCATGATTCTAGAATGGCTGCAAGCTGCGAGCAGTGAAACAAATTGTACGCGGCTTTAAATTAGCTTCAGTAATGGCATCAAACGATCTGACATCATACCTTAAGCGTTCGCCGGTTTCATAGAAACGAAGTTGTCTCATTATTAGCCCGTTTTGCTAAAACCTGATCTGGACTCAGAACATCTTCAGCTTCGGGGTGACTCCAGCCATAATCCACCAGTCTTAGATGCTCCTCCGCAGCAATGCTATAGGAATATTGCAGCAGCTTCCACGAGCGCGTTGCGTCGCTCTCTTGGAACTTTCATCAAGCATGGATCAAGCGAAGCAGATTCACGCTCAGATGATCACTAACGCTTTATTACGCGATACTGGGAACGTAGCCAGGCTAATCGAGAAATACTGCAACGAGGAAACGTCGGAAGGAGGCGGCGGCTCTGCTCAACTTATATTCCGTCAGGCCACAGGGGAGTTAAAAAACACACTTTTATGGAACGTCATGCTTAAATACGCATCGCCCGAGGAATCACTGCGTCTCTTCGCCGGCGGTGAGATGATGAGGGCGGCGACGCCCGACCACGAAAGCTACGCCTACGTCCTCAGATCGTGTGCACGGCTGCGCGCCATGAGGGAAGGGAAGCAGGTGCACGCTCGAGCGCTAAAATACGGGCTAGACTTACAATTGGCGCTGGCGACTACATGTGTCCTCTTCTATGCGTTATGCGGGGACATGAAGGCCGCACGAATGCTGTTCGAGAAAATGCCGGAAAAAAGCTCGGCGAGCTGGAATTCAATGCTGACCGGGTACTGCGTCAATGGAATGGCAAAGGAAGCGCTATTATTGTTTAAAGAGATGGTTTGTCGTGAAGCGAGGTCTACAGAAAGCGCTCTGCTGCTGCTCTCTGCTTGTTCGCAAGTAGGTGATCTGGTCCTAGGCGCCACAATCCATTCCAGGGTATTAAAGACCATTCCAGCTCCCTTGGACTGCCCCTTTATAGGCACTGGGCTGGTCGATATGTACTCCAAATGTGGATCACTTGACAACGCTTCGGCATTGTTTCATGCTATGAGGCGGAGGAATGTGATCACCTGGAGCACAATGGCTGCCGCTCTTGCCATGCATGGACAGGGGAAAGCAGTGGTGGAACTTATTAACTTGATGGAGAACGAAGGGATAGCACCAAATGCCATCACTTTTACATCCTTGCTATCAGCTTGCTGTCATGCTGGGCTAGTAGAAGTGGGCCTACGACTGTTTGATGAAATGCAGAGCCGCTTCAATGTTGTGCCTGCAATGCAGCACTATGGCTGCATTGTTGATCTACTTGGCCGGGCTGGGATGGTAGAGGAAGCTCACGAGTTCATTAAAAACATGCCTATGCAGCCTGATGCTGTTGTCTGGAGAGCTTTGCTTGGTGCTTGCAAGATCCATGGTGAAGCAGGGCTCGGTAGCAAGATTGGGAAGATCCTTATCGGACTCAAGCAGCGGACTGAGCCATTGCCCTGCACCAGCTGCGAAGATTTCATAGCACTATCCAATTTGTACGCTTTGGCGGAGAGGTGGGAAGAGGTTCACATGGTTAGAACTGCAATGAATAAGAGAGGTATTCAGAACAAACCAGGACAAAGTTCAGTTCAAAACATAGACTGGATTTGAAATTCAAACAGCATAGCTGTGTAATTCAGTTTCGGCAGTTCTTTAAAAAAATACAATCTGACAGAAAAAGCCAGCAATCCCAGACATGGATTTGTTACAGAAGCCAGATGTACGGAAGAGAAACACATAATAAAACATGGCCGCTCTCGAGGAAAAGTTTTGATGGTAACAGCAACTAGTTACATGAATCTAGAAGCCGTACGTATACAGTATTTGTGACACTAGAAACTTTTGATCACACTTTTGGAAAATTAACAAGAATCAGCATTGGGTAGGCTTCAATACTTGGATAGTTTTTCGTATGTATCTATAGAATATCTGTCGAAGTTTTTTCTCTATCAGACAAACAACGTTCCATTCCAAGCTCGGCAGCCAAAGCCCCAATATCTGGCGTTGTCTCCCAACTGCCTTTGTGATCTCGTGAGCTCGAGTGAGGCAGCTGGGAATTGCACCCATCTGATCCTCTGATGCTATCGATTTGGCTCTGTATGTCGTCCAGCTCCTCCTCAGCCACAGTCTGCCGCTTCCCACCCACCTCCAGATCCACACTCATCTTTGGCATGTCTTGGCTGAGAGCGGGATGAGATGAGGTGAAGATCACTGAGTTATCCTTCATTTTAGCACGGAAGTTGGTCTTAGAACTTGGAATTCTGGATAAAAATATTTCACTCACATTTTGGGCACAGCCAAGGTTGTGAGGATTTGTTTTCTTATCATAACGGTACCGGAAGTTCTCATATGTGGTCTGCAATTAACACAATTAAGTAATTAATATTTCTGGCTTGTTAATGCAAGATATCTATAAGAGAAGCTAAAGAGATTGGGAATAGCACCTGATTAGTGCAGATTAAGTAAAGATGGAATGCTGTCAACCCTCCTACAAACCAAAAAGCTATGAATGTATATATGATAAGAATTCCTGAAATTGGTGATTTAAGGAAGGCTCTCCAAAGATTACATTCATGCACATCCATTATCTTCTTCAGGTTAACCCAGCAAAATATGAAGACATAAACACAAAGGAGGGATGTAGATAGCACAAACATGAAGAAGAATCTGTAGTTTCTCTGCACAGCAGAAAATATCATATGTAAGAATAGAGTTGTTTTTTATGGTCTATTTTCATTTTTTAGCTATCTTCTCGAACTTTTGATAATACCAATACTAATTTAAAATATGAAGCAAGCATGTATGTTCAATTAAGTAGTATGATTAATCCATTTTTAATCATTAATGAAATGGCAAAAATAAATGCCGCCAAAATAACACATTCCACGTGACCACATCATGATTTGAGTCTAACCTCACCCACGTTCCTGCCACACAATCGTACCCCATTCCCTCAAAGTCGAAAAAGAAAAAAAAGGAAAACAAAAAATAAAATGAATAACTCCACTCACTGGATAACAATGCAGCCGGGCACATCTGTGTGAAGAGGATAATCATTAAGTAGATTTAAGCAGTGTGACATGGTTTCCTCTTAAAAAATTGACACAACTGATGTCTCCTCCCTTATCTCTAACAAAAAATCAATAATATTATGAATAATAAAGCAGATGCTTAGTGACCGTGTATCTCCCTCAGAAATTAGCAAGAAAAACGAAGAGTTATTACCTTGCCAATGCATTGTCCAACCCAGGGGCAATGATGATCAAAACGCTCCACACAGTTATTGCAAATAGAACAATGGGAGCACCGTGGGGGGCGATAAAGCATGCAAGTATGGCAGTACTTGACCTTGATTATGATATTATTAACGACCACATCCTTGGCGGGAGGCAAGCTTGATGGGCCGCTATGATTTCCCGCTGAAGCATTGGAGATGTCAGCTTCATCTTCTGGCTCTGGAGGATGAGCATTGCGAGGGATAATGCCTGGATCCTTGCCTGATGTGAGAAGCAGAAGAAAGATAACCTGCATTCAATTAGGAAAGTAATAGACTGGATTTAAAATCTTACGAATGCCATAAGTGAAATCAACAAATTAATGCAGCTTATATTAAACCCATGAGTACCGAAAACCATGCTTGATTAAGCAGAAATTCTAATACTTGAGGAAATTTTATTTCACCTTGATCTGCGCTATCAAGAATGTTACTTCCCACAGACTATCACAGTTTTTTTTATTTTTCAGCTCACGATAAAAGATTTTACTATTAAACCCAAAAGCCACCAATAAATGATTCCCCGAATAAAGTACAACAAGTTTAAAAGAAAATCTTGAAATAGTTATCGCTTTATGCAGGGATGTCAAAAATTAACCCGACACACCAACAAGACATGACCCAAATATTTTTCGAGTCGGGTTCAGGTCTGAGAATTTGACACGTATAAATTTTGGGTCGCGTTCAGATTGAACTCGAAAACCCGAACATGACATAAACAAACACGAACAAAAGGATCTGGCCTGGGCTTTGAGTAAATGAAATTTGGTGTACTCTTAACTTTTTTATACTATTGCTTATCATATATAAACAGAGAAATATTTTAATTTGCCTATTGTTACTCGTTAAATGTTAGACGTATAGTTTTTTTAGAAAAAATTGAGCTGATAAGTTAAACGGGTCGAGTTCTAGTTAAGCTTGTCTGGGTCGAGTTGGGTGCGGGTTGAGATTTTTTGACCTGTTTATTATGTGGGACGGGTTCGGGTTGACCCGATTCAGGTTAGGTCATTTTCATGTTAGACCCGAACCCAACCCACTGACCCGAATTGACATCTCTGGCTTCATGTAAAATCTATATTTCATTTGGTGTTTGGATTAATCCCAGACTCTTTTGGCATTTTAAAGTTAAGGATGAATTTACTTACCACACAACTCTTATGAATTTACGTATCTAATTTCTAACTTAAATTATTATATGTCTAACACTAAAATATTTGGCATCACATAGGATATCACCATGATTAACTTCAAAGAATGAAATATACATTTTCAGGGATGAATATATATATATATATATATATATATAACTTTAAAGCGTTAGATATGTAGATATAGAACTGTGAGGTATGTACATAAATTCCTCTAAATGTACAAAACTAGTTACTTGGACACTTTGGCAAAACACAATTCTTTTCAATAAATTTTTTGTTACTCTAACGAGCAATGGAATAAAATAAGATCATGAGGTTCTTTATTTCAATTGAAACATAAGGCTCTCTCTCTCTCGCTCTCTCTGTGGATATATATATATGTGTCTATGTGCGCGCGCGCGCGCCTTAGCCTGACTCATTAGTTGCGGCCTTTGGTCTAAGTCCCTCGTGCGCGCGCCTTAGCCTGACTCATTGGTTGCGGCCTTTGGTCTAAGTCCCTCAAGTCGGGGGTTCGATTCCTGCGTAAGATCGAATTGCACATCTTTCTGGAAGGGGGATCCGCCCCTTGGTCAGACTATGAGGTTAATCGGCGATCAACCTTTTAATATATATATCTCGCGTTGTCTTCGCGCTCGAGTTCGTCTCTCGCGTTTCTTCCTTCTCCGGCTCGCTCTGAGACGAGGCTCGCTCCTCTACGGCCCGTCTCGCCGCTCGCTTCTGCGGCTCAACCTCGCGGGAACTGCTTCCTACGTTCTCTGCGCTCGTCCCTCTGCGGCTCAACCTCACGGGAACTTCCATTTCCTGCGTTCTCTGCACTTATGCGGGGCTCAACCTCGCGGGAACTGCTCTGATTCCTGCGTTCTCTGCACTCGTCTGCTTTCTTCTCTAAAGGTCTGTCCTAGAGGATGGCTTCGGACAAATCATATGCAGCTGCTCTTGTGTCCACGTCTCAGGCACACCAAAATCATCATCTTTCCATCCTTCATTTGAGTGGGCGGAGGACGTTAAGAAACCTGGTAGAAAGAATGGGAAGCCCGCCATCTTTTTTACAGAAGCTGAAGGTATTCACCTTGGTCATCTTGTCGTCTGAATTTGGTTGGAAAATTTCTATAAGGTCATCCCAAAATAGAGCTCATTGGCAAAGAATTTGAACTTGTGCACCTTGTTGGAGAATGGAAAATTGGACTATTAGATGGGAGACACATTTTTATTCAAATTAGTAATGAAGAAGATTACATGCGTTTATTTGCTAAAAGGATAATATGAATTTATAACAGAGCAATGAAGATTCTGAAATGGTCTGCAGATTTTGACCCACAAACGGAACCGCCAATCATTCCGGTTTGGATTCGTCTCCTTGGTTTGAAATTTCATTATTTTTCTTAAAAAGTATTGTACTATATTGCCTCAGCTTATGGGAAGTCGCTCAAGACGGACATTCCTACTTTTAATTTGTCTCGTCCTTCTGAAGCAAGAATACTTGTTGAAAGAGACATCACTTCACCTGCATCTGAGGAAATCTAGTTGGGCACACAACACCAGGGATATTGGCAGAAGGTAGAGATTGAACATTTTCCGTCGTATTGTTCGAACTGTCGTATGTTCGGACACTCCA